AAGAATCAAACTTGAATGCTATAATTAAACTTCAAATCAAAGTAGATTGTTATAATCAAATAATAACTCATCTTTTATAAAACTCCATTTTTATAAACTTTACATTAAATTTTATAAAACTCTATTTTTATAAACTTTACATTAAATTTTATAAAACTCTTATATTAATTATGTAAAAGATGCTTGTGTTAGTGGGAAATTATGAAGACCACCAAAAGCAAAAAGATTATTCCCATGGTCTCCCACTCACACCTCCCATCCACTTTCCTTTCCTTTTCTCCCAACACATTATTCTCTTCACCACTTAAACCTTCTCTATTCTTTCTCTCACTCTCAATCTCGAAATTCAGCCAAGAAATACTCATATTCCAGCCAAGAACAATCTATTATACTCAAATCTTCATCCCTCTTGAAGCATTCATCAAGGTATGTTGTTAAAAGTTTCATATTCATACAAGAAACAAATTAAATCCACCAAAATATCTAAAACTCATTTTATGCATAAACCTGATTTTTCTCAGAATCCCATCAATAAAATAAGAAGTTCTGGAAATTTTCAGAAAATAACTTATTTTTATTGAATTACTATAATTATTGAAATAAAGTAGGGCAATAATTCACATAAAATACTTTTTGCATTCAATAAATTCTGAGAAAACTCTGGGATGACCTGTATACTGATTAAACATGATATATGAAGTTTCATGCATTTATATTACTTTTTACTATTATTTATGATTTTATTGATTAATTAATAATGAAATATATAAAAAATACTTCCCATAGTCACAAATATCTGAAACTTATACACTGAGCTCTACATCATGTTATAAAACTATGGTTAATTTTACAGATTTTTTGAGAATCATTTACTATTTTTCCCGAATTTTGTGTTGTTTAATCATTAAAATATTAAATAAATACTAAAACAGTTCAGAAAAATATACAAATTTTACAGTAATTCATATTGTATGCAATAATGATTTCCTAATAATTTCATAATTTTTCAATACTGTTTACTATTTAAAACTATTTTCCTAAGTATTTAAGCATGTAAAAATGCATTTTAATGATTATTTCATATAAATAATTGTTAAAATCTGTAAATACTTATAATTGGGCAAGTTATTATTTTAATAAGAAATTATTAAAATCTGGCCTAAATTGAAAATATAAATTAATTATGCAAAGTAAGTAATTCAATTTAAAATTCATTTAACAAATAAATACCTTAATATTATAATCAAAATGAATTATTGTTAATTCATCTAATATAAGAATATGTGTCTAATTATTTGTATTAATACTTCATTCTCGTTTAGCAGTTCCTAAACCAAAACTATTAATTATATTAGGTTCTACGTCATTTTGACCCGAATCGTCTATCGTACGACACACGCATTTCGTTTTGGGACTAATGTGAGTAATCTACCCCATATTTTATAATTTTCAATACTTTTGGGGTGTATCATGTGGTTCTAATATGTTCCAACTTCATTTTATTGTTTTATCACAATTGAGACATTGTTGGGACATTTATACGTGAGTCATTAATTGTATAACTATTGTTTGTTTACGCTACATGTACTTGTAGTGCATTACCATTTTTAGTCTAATCTCCATGACTATGCCCGTATTCTTGAGGTACGTTATGGACAATAATAACGCTATTGGGTTGACCACCCCGCCTTGGGACGCTAAGGTGATTGATTGCACGTGGTTGAGTGTGTATGATGATTAGATGTTCCATCCTATATATATTTATATGTATATATACATATGTATATATAGGGTGAGGACTTATTGTTGTTGTTATCATTTGTTAATCAATTTTTGATTTATAAACCGTTATCTCAAATACAATTGTTTGCCGACTTCAAAAGAAAACAAATTTCCAATTATAAAGGTTTCAACTTCACAATTTTCTCTACTAAAATTAGATTACTCACCAACTCTCGTAGTTGACCTGTTTTTACCCATGATGCAGATTTGAAGAATGAAGTTGATGAAAAATAGGTTGTGCCTTAGAAATCCACAAGACTATTTAAATTTGATGTAATAAAATGTTGTTCATATTTGGATTTGTATTTGTATGTTGTGGATCTTGTTTGCATACTTAGTACTTAATTAAATCTAATCATATTATAACATAGTTGTCATGAGACTTTAAACAATATATCACGCCTTGATCGATTCCGACAAGGATCGGGGTGTGACACCACCCCTGAACGTTTCCGCCGTTCTTGGTTTTGGGGTAGGACAAAGCATCACAACGTGAACCCTCCTTGGTCACGTCATGAACACAAAAGGACAAAGTAGACGAAGGATCCACCAATGTCACGTCGTGACAAAATTCTTAATGGTTTGAGTCCTTAATCCATTAAGTCATCAACTCTAACTTTCCAGAAAGTTTTAAGGGACTCCGTAGGTTCATAAAAATGACAACTTTATGGACATACATGTTCCATGCATGTCCTCTACCCATCCTAGCTCAAAAAGCCAAGAAAATGACCTAAAACTCATGCAAGGTTCACAATTCACAACCAAACCTTAGATACATAAGATATGATGCTCTTGGGACTCTGGAAGACCATAAAGTTGTCAACTTTATTCCATCCATTTACTCAAATCAAAACCATGAATCAAATAGGACCAAAACAACTTAGATCTAAGAGAATAAATGACTAAGGTAGACGCTTAAATCCTTACAAATGGTTCAGAAGGTGATATCAAGGATGAGAAGATGTTGATTATTTGATCATTGCATCAATTCTCCTTCTACTTCCTTCAATAAGCACCAAAACCAACAAAATGAGCCAAAACCATCAAGAGGGATTAGGGTTAGGGTTTTATGAGGTTTGAGGATGACGGAGGCTGATAATGAACCCTAAATTCGAGTTTATGAGGTATAAATACGAAGGAAACCCTAAAGGATCTTGGGTTTGGGTTGCAGCCTTCCTCACGACGTGACCATACTCATGTTCGTACATGCTTCCCGAATACGCGCTTCCCCTTTGACTTGTCACGCCGTGACCTCCCTATGGTCACGTCGTGACACCCGGTTTTCCCCAAAAAACATGTTTTTGACTCCTTAATGCACAAAACCGTTCCATTTTGAAAAACGGGTGTTACAGGGGGTGTTTGGGTTTTGCTCCAACTTTAGGTTGAAAAGGGAATTTAATTTTATAAAGACTGGGAGAAAGAAAATAATGGTGTAAGTAAAATGTTGTATAAATTGTGTATTTATAGATAAATTAATAGTATATATATATATATATATATATATATATATATATATATATATATATATATATATAAAATTTGACGGTTAATCAACGTCATTTTGACCGTTGAAAAGAAATTAAACGTTGTTGCAAGCCATTGTCACAATAACGGGAGTCACCATAACGCCGGCTGGGGTTGGTGCTCGTTGCGTTTCCAGCACGTTAAGCAATGTCCACGTCAGCAATAACGGGGAAAAACGATCCATACCCATCACTCTAAATTTTTAATTTTTCAAAGTTGATGGCAACTCTGAAATTTTCAAATAATAAAGTTGTTTTGCAATATACGGTTATAAAATATGATATTTTGGTGAATAATCTTATATATCGGTGCAGATTTTCTTCGTTAAATTAAAAAATAGGTATTCACCATTGTACAAATCATAAAATAATCCAAAAATAATAAATAAAATGAGAAAATATTTGTGTTTATTGTGATTGGTAGTGTAGTGTGGTGTTAGAGGTGACTTTTTGACTTTATTCACTCACTTGGCACACAATTTTTGTGTTTGAATCTTTTTGATTTCAAGAACAGATCTATATGTAATCATTTTGTCATGGGATTTGGGTCTAATTAATCAACAATCCTCTCTTGTTCATACTGTTTATTTCCCTTTTTCTCTTGTATATTTTATTCAAGAATATATATTTTGAATGTTACAGGTCAAAAGGAGTAATTATTGGGAAGAGGGATGTGTAATTCTCAAGTTGTAGGAACATCTTACAGCTTTCAGGTCCCAACATTAAAGACTGGAACATAACTTTATCCAGAGATACAAAGAAAAAGATAAAAACAATAACACCACACTAAGGTACAAATTATTACCGCATAAAATACAAATTTCACCAAAGAAAAAGAAAAGATTGATAGCAACAAATGACCCAGACTCGATAAAACACCACTATGTTGTGTCTTGTCATTTATTGATTGTTTCTTAACATCTCTGACAATATGAACAAGATAATTATTTCAAAAACATAACAATTTCTTGTCTTACCAACTTAACCCTAAAAATATGAACAAGATAATTATTTCAAAAACATAACAATTTCTTGTCTTACCAACTTAACCCTAAAACATGATAAAACAGATTATAATGCGTTTGACATGTATTAAACAAACTGAATTGGTGTTAACTGACAAATACTGTAATTCTTTTATTCACTCGATTGAACATGTTGGACTGGAACTAGTTTTCGATCTATTTTATACAAAAGATGTAAATACCCTTCTGATTTTGTTTGTTTCGTAAGTGTAAGTGTGTAACAACATACTCTTAAGGCTCCATTTGTTAAGCATGACATTAGTATACTGCATTTGATATGAATTTGCCAGCAACTGATGTCAATGAAACAAAAACTTTTTTTTTCTTTTGTCTCACCAAAAATAAAATAAGATGGGATAGAAACGTGTTCTCGATCTATCATATGTGCAAAAAGACATAAACAACCCTAGACAACAGTCCCATGTAACAACATATTCTAAGTTTGTTAAGCTCGACAAGATTAGTATACTGCATTTGATATTAATTGGACAGAAACTGATGTCAATGAAACAAAAACTGCTTTTTTGTCTCACCAAGATAAAATAAGGGATAGAGATTCGTTCTCGAGATATCGTATGTGCAAAAAGACATAAATAACCCTAGACAGTGGTCCCGTGTAACAAACCGCATCCAAAATGTCTAGATTTGTTCCAAAAAAACAAGAGGAAAAAAATTTCTCATTGCCAAATACAAAGTTACAAATCATTTCGAAAGATCCGAAAAACTACACGCGAGAGCGAGTAAGTGAAACTTCTGTCAAATGTGAACTAAATTCCTAGCCTTGTTTGAAAGAAGCAATCTCCTTTTTTACCAATTTAGCACACCACCTTCCTCTTTTGATCAAACCATTTACCTTTCACAATTCACAATTCACAATTCACACCTGTGTGTTTTCTTATCAACCTCAATGATCCATTATGAGTAGTACATGTGTGAGTTTATTACCTTCTTAGGAAAGCATCTTCATAAATAATCTTTGTCTTCTTGCAACTTTCAGTATGATTTTTAACTCTTTTAGCATTAATCTCCCATCAATCATACTGCCAAAAAAACCCCAAATTTAATAAGATCCGATATCACAACACTAAAGACAAATTAAATGCAACCAAACACGATTAAAGACAAGATTAGTGGTATTAACCTTGTTTACGTTTCAGTAGAGTCGAAGCATGTTTCTGGCAATTGAATTTGAGTTGCTTGTTGGTTTACCTTTTCCTGTTCCAATTCCAATTCCATTCCTTCGACTACCCCTCAATGGAGTCAAGTAGAAACGAAGGAGTCCACTGTCTGTGTGATTTGGTGAATATCTTGCACTTCGATTCCTCTCAAGAACAAATTCATCTCCTCCAACTTTCCTGTTCTTCCCGTTGGTTTCAGAGTTTGGTTTCTTGGTGGTGTTGAATGAAGAATTTCTCCAACTTACACTACTGTTGCTTCGTAATACCTTTTTGTTAAATCCCCCTTTTGATTCTGTTCGATCTTGCCATGATTCTGAGTATGATCTTTCGACGCCATTTACTCTGCTGAAAGTGTCGTCGTCGTCGTCTTTGTTGGATCCTCCACGGCGGTGGATGAACCCCCATAACTTCCATCTCCATCGTCTTGGTTTCTTGCCCTCCTTCTTCTCGCCGTTGTCTCTGAACCCTAATTCGAATGTCTCTGAGCAATCGTCTCTTAAGGAATTTGAATATGAATCCCTTGCTAATTCTCGCTCACCACCGATGCTTGGAAATCTTTTTAAGGCGCCATGACCATGGTTGTAATCGATGGTTGCCGGAGAAACTTTGGCGTTTGAGACTGGAACGGTGGTTGTTTTTGGTTCGTCCATTTCCGCCACTACAGCGGCGGCCATTTTCCGGATGGAGTTTGACCTGTCGAGGCTTTTCCTGCGCTTGGAGGAAGAATCAGAGTAATATTCTCGGGTTTGGATTGATCCACCGGGGACAAGAAGATCTACATTTGTTGGTGGTTCTTCGACGGAGATTTGCATATCGGAACGTGGTATCTGCACCACAGGTGCATCTTCTACCATGGGAGGAAGCCGTGGGAAAGTCCGGCCGATTAGATACCCGTCCCAGGAAGCTCTAGGCTCGTCGAAGGAGTATCTCGGGTCATCAAACGAGATCCGACCCGCGTCAAGTGAAAACCTGGGATCGACGTCGCAGGATCGCCGGCCGAATCCGTAATCGGCGATTTCGGACTGTGTCTCGCGGTACTTACGCGACATCGGCTTCTTTACCGGCAATGTTGACGATGACAGGACGCCGTTGCCGTCGATGCTGCTCTTCTTCTGCTTTCGTCTCCATTTTTGCCATTTTTTGCTTAGAACCGACGCCGCTGACCAGAAATTTGATATTGATGGTTTCTTAGACTGGGAATCGAGATCTATGTGATCCTTCATGGTCTTCAAATCGTCCACACTTGCATTCTCTTCTTCTTCTTCTTGAATTTCAGACACTTCTTCCACAATGTCGTTCTCAGGATCGTTAAAATTCCTCACGTCTTGCTCTTCAGCAAGTTCAATTTCTTCGTTGTGAAATTGATCTTCTTCTTCTTCGTCGTCGTCTTCTTTGTTGGTCTCGAGGAGGGTCCCAGTGTTTCCTAGGGCTTGTTGTTGAGCGGAGGAATGCCTGGGTTTATTTTCGTCGTCGATGGAGAAGAGTGTCCAGAGCGTGTTACTACGACCCCTAACGTCGCACGATTTCCGTTGAGGCTCGAAAACGCCGGCAGATAATCCTAATCCTTCGTTTTTCGAGGCGGAAAAAGACTTTGTGCGGCGGAGCTCAGGGAAAAATGAGGTTCTGGTTGAACCTGAAGCTGTAGCTGTAGCTGCTGTTTTGTTTTTGTAGGCTTCGAAGGTAGTGATGGAAGAGGAAGGCACTCTGAATATCGATTTGAGAGCAGCAGCAGTGGCGGAGGAGGTGGAATTACGACGGGAGGAGGAAGCGGCAGCGGTGGCGTTAGCTGATTGATCTAGAGTGGTGAGACGTTCGCAGAGACATGATGGACAGAATCCAGAAAAGTTCTCATCGGGATGGCGGTCGCAGCTGAAGGAGGATCTCGGTGGCTGTAATGGCAACGCCTGTTGTGGCGGTGGTGGTAGTTGGTCGGTTGTGGGATTCATAACCGGCGGTGGTTGCAGGAATGATGTGCAGTGCGCACTCTGCTCATGTTAGCATTAATGAAGCAAAGTAACGTTGGTTTAATGTGAGAGAGAGAGAATGAGAGCGGTGAAGAGTTACCAACGGACACTGAAGGAAGCCGGAGAGAACCTCGAGGATGCTCACTTTAGTAAAACCACTACAAAGACAATTCTACCCTTGGACTCATTAAAAAATAATAAAATAATAAAATTTAGACTAAATTCAAGTTTTGTCCTTCATCTATTCTTAATTTACATGTTTAGTTAAAATAATTTTGGATTCTTGGATTTATATTGCTAAATATAAAAGTCTGATTTAATTGATAGTTTGGGTGTTGTCCTTTTTCTTTGAAGTCCAATGTTTAATTTTTCCTGAGATATGAAATTATGAGTAGTTTATAAATAAATTAGATTTGTCATTTTAAACGAAAAAATTTTATTTCAATTTTAAAAATCAAACATTAAAAAAAATAGATAGATAGATGAATTGGATGAAATCGAGCAAAAACCTTAAAACATATGACACATGTGATTGTCATATAACGGGCAATTTTGAAGGAGACAAAAATAGAGATTCAATTATTATAATTTATAGATAAAGTTTTTGACTTGAATTGAAAATAAAACTTTCACACTAAATCTAGATATTAAGTAAAAGCTGAAGGACAAAATGTGTAATTTTACTGGGAATATTATAACTTCCATGTGATTTTCCATGCTTTTTGCACCTTTCATACGAGAAATGTCTCCTTTTCATATTTGGTATTTGTATACATGAACTAAAGGGTTGTAGTTGTAGGTGTGTTCAAAAATGGTTTTCTTTTTCCGGAAAAGAAACTTATGAGAAGATATACTTTAACTAACATCTTTATATAAATGATTTATTATTTTATATATATATATATATATATATATATATATATATATATATATATATATATATGTTAGTTAAAGTATGAATATCTTCTCATAAGTTTCTTTTCAGGAAAAAAAAACCACTTTTGAACACACCTACAACTAGAATATATATATATATATATATATATATATATATATATATATATATATATATTATATATATATAGGTTCAGATGTTTAAACTAATTATTGTGTTATTGTATTCATCAATGTGGACCAATCAAAATTAAATAAAAAATTAAATAATAAAATAAATAAATAAGGGTAATTTAGTAATTTGTTTAGTAACTTCCAAAAATAATCCTTATAATCACGGTATTGACTTATAACCTAAATAAATAAGCGTGTCTTCCTCAATCTCCCATCCGATAAAGCCCTAGCATCCTACAGGGTATTGACGCTTTCAGATCGTGTTCGGAAACCCTCACTGATCATCCAAAAATAATCGATGGGGAAAGGTTTAATAGTGAGGGTATTTTTGCTATTTTTAAAAAGATTTTACAAGGGATTAGGTTTAAATTGCATCCCGTCGTCATTTGTTGAACGGGCAAGGGAAGAACGCCTGCAAGCAGACGAATGAATAGAGGGAAAAGCGAAGGCTCGTCGGCGCTGCTTCCAGTTCCTCGGTTGTCGCAGACCACAAAGAAGGCCGAAGAAAAACGAAGCTCACAGGCGGTGCGTAGTCGGTCGATTTTTGAGGAGCGGCTTTGTGTTCGATGGGAACAGCAGAGAAGGAAGAAAACGAGGGGAAAGGGGGGTCCGATGGCAGCCATCCGTCGCAGGTGAGGACCTCGGTGGTGTTTGCTCGAAGATCACGATGTTTCCTTGTTTTGGCAGTTCCAAATCAACCACAGGTAAAAATTTCTTTTAGGATTTTGTTTTTTGTTTGATAGAAATCGTTGGGGTGTTTGGGTTTGCTGGGAAATCAATGAAAATGAAGGGAATTTGGGTTTGTTGATTCACATGAAATGAAGAAGGAAGAAATTAGTTTTTTTTTTTTTTGGTTCTAGTAGCCTCTAGCTGCGTCAACTTCTGTTTCTTAGAAGTAGTGATTTGTGGGTGGTGTATGTTTTGTGCTTTGATCGACAGAACAAGAAGAAAACACCACACTAGAGTGTGTGGTCGTTGCGAAGACGAAGAATAATGTGGAGGTGGGGTTGTCACAGCCGACTGCTCCATCTAAAGGTAGAGTTTTTTTTGTTGTTTTTATGATTCCTTTGTATAATTTGAGTTTGGATGGAACTAACTGCTTTTGCTTTCTTTATGTTTACTCTATCATACAATATGTTACAGCCATACAATATGTTACAGGAGGCCAAGTGTATCCTGCCCAGGTGAATTTTTACTTGCATTTGGTATTTGACAAGTACAAAATCTTGGAATAATGTGAACCATTTTACTATTTGCAATTAGCACCACCAACTAGAGAAGTCAAGCTCGAGTAATCGCAACAAGGTTGAATTCTGAAAAGGTATCAAGTATGTTTATGTAGATGATTCAATGGATGATATTGGTGAGATTCCAATTCTATTGGAATGGAATCACGAATTCCAATTCTGTTGGAATCACAGAAGTTGATGCTTGAAGAACGGACCACAAAATTGAAACGGACCATATTATTCTTTTAGAATGTAATAGTCGTTGTTAGATTTTGATGTTTTCTTTCCCGTTTTGAAAGTTTTTTTAGTTTTATTCTTTAACAATAAATGTAATTTTTAACAATTGTTACCCGTATTCTATAAGAAATAATGTATTTTTTGTTTTTATTCTTCAATTGATTGTTCAAGAATTTGTTATTCTACAAGAAGTTTTTAAATTAATGATCAAGAAATAGGTTCAAGAATATTTTTATTATTTATGGTTCAAGAATATTTTTATTTTTTAATATACTCATAAACATATTCGGTCAGAATGTCCGAATAAAAAGAATTATAATTCGTAAAATCGGATTTTTAAAATTAATAGAATCTATGATCCCTTGAAAAATGCAATTTTCATTTATTAAATCTACATTAATTGACTAAATTACCCTTGTAATTAATTAAGATGATATTTTTCAATTATATTTAATTCAATAATATATATTAATCACTTTCTTAAAATAAGTAAATTTGATTGGCCCACATTTATGCATACAATAACACAATAATTACTTTGAATAGAATAACCTAAGCATATATATATATATATATATATATATATATATATATATATATATATATATTCTGTTTGATTAATTTCAAAAATAGTTTAAACATTTAATATATAGTAGTAAAACATATTCAATTTTTTTTAATACATCAAAACGGATTGATTTTCTAACGAGACTTATCGTGTTGATTAATGGAGTCTGGTTTTCTTGTTGACCTTATTGCCTCTACTAAGACTTAACAATTGAGTTGTATTGTATGGTTGTAGTTGTAGTTGTAGTTGCAATTGTAGTTGTGATATGTTATGGTGGGGAACTGTGGTGCTAGGATCGAATTTGTGATGTCGACATATGGTGCTTGAGTAGCAGGCATGGGTGCTCGAGTATAGATCAATGATGCCTAATAAATAGATCTATAGTGACCAGTTAGAGGTCTATCATATGGGTCTTTGGTGCCGATCATACATACTAAAAGACTTGTTTCAAGTGGTGACGTTTGGGATTGGTCCACAAGAAGTATTAGGGCAACTTTTGTCATTATAAATTGATATATGTGTATCTTGGTTGCCCTAAGCAAAATCTATGTGTATGAGAGCTGTAAATTTCTACACCTAATAAAATTTTATTTAGTTCATTTGTAGATTAGCATGATTACTTTGATCGTGTGAACCATGTTGATTTCTTATGTAACACCCACATTTGGGGCCTATGATTGTTGCATTTAAAGTGAAATTATTTAAAATTTTAATAAAATAAAAATAATTAAAAACTAAAGAACTAAATAAAAAAATAAAAAATTGAATAAACAAAAAAGTATTAAAACTAACCAATATAATAAAGGAATAATTATAATAAACATGAATTTATTATATCTAATGACTTATATAGTTTTTAAATCCTAAAAATGAAAAATTAGATGTTAACTTTGATTAAGAATCATATTTAGCCATCACTTGACTTAGGTAACCTACTTCCTATTTTTAGAACGCTGAAGTTAAGAGATGAGTTTGTGTGATTTAATAGCGTAAATTCATCACTAGTCATATTTTAGAAGATCAATGGTGGTTAATTACGAACAACTGGAAGTAGAGGAACCAAGGTTAGCAAATAGTCAAAAACTTTAAGACTTGGAGCATTGTTTCTCTCTTTTGTTCTCACTGAAATTATAAAAGAGAGATTGAGAGTGAGATTGGGCAATTTAGAACCTATGGAAGATATTGGAGTGTTCTTGTAAGTACAATGGAATATTGGAGCTCAATTCCACCATAAGAAGTTCTAAAAGGTAGTGACTCATCTTCATCGTTGATAAAAAATAATATTAGAGGATATTATAGGACAAGGTTTAATTTCTTAAACCTTGAATGAACAACAACAATGGAGGCTAGTAATAGATTTTCAGTCAGGTCTAGATCAAGTCCAGTTAAGCCTTGAAGAACAACAACCACATATTCAATGCAAGATAATTGTAACATCCAAAAATTATGACCCAAAAGTTTCATTTTTAATTTCAGTAAAAGTCGCATTCCAAAACATTGTTCATACATCCCAAACAAATAAACATGTCAACATCATGAAAATCAGAGTATGTCCCATAAAAAGAATCCATATGGTGTGTGCGATGCAGTCAACCCGAGCTCTTCCCCTTGGAACCGGAAGTACCTTAAACATAAACTAAAACCCGTAAGCACAAAGCTTAGTGAGTTCCCCAAGATAGGGCATACCAAACATATCATATAACGGGCCCCGCCCACGCTCGCATAACGGTCCCTGTCCAATGAGATACGAGCCCCGCCCACACTCGCATAACAGGCCCCGCCCAATGAGATACAGGCTCTGCACACACTCGCAATACAGGTCCCGCCTAATAAACATACATATACAAACACATACAAGTATCACACAGACCACAAGTATA